AAAATATAAAATAGGTTAAAATCCATTTTTTCATTAATTTTCAACTTCATTTGAATGTGTTTTGTTTTAATTATTCTTTATATGTTTTTCCTATTTTAGTAGACTTTTTTTTGTTTCAACACTTTTTTGACTGCTTGGGACTTGCCCGGTTAGAGCGATTGAATCGGCTGGTATACCGGTTAGGCCGATTAAACCATTTCCAGACCAATATCCAGTTAACCGTTCCGGTTCGAGTTTGTGAACATTGGGACATGCACTTCATCTACCCATTTTTTGTTGGGATGGCTATTTTCTAATGATAATTATTATCCCCAGAAGAAATACATTTGGAAAAAATAAAGTAAGAAATTGCTAATTATTTTTCATCTCTTTTTTATGATTTATTATATCTAACTGATTTATGCAAGGGGCCAGAGTTCTTTAACTATCAGAAGTGCAATCTATGTTGCTCCACGTTCTAATACAATTACGTGGTTCAAACTATTCTTGAATCGGTGTGGTTTGTATAGGTCTACCTTCAAATAGTGTCGAGAAATGCAGTTTCAATACTGGAAATTTTTGTGATAGCCTTCAAATATATTTTTATCTTTATTTATAAAGTTTGAAGCTTCAAAAATAGCGTAGATCGACATATCTATAAAAACTTGATAATCTTGAAAATTGACGGTCCAAAATGCGTTACAAAATATACTATTTTCCAAACTTAAAATCCATTTTTTTCTCATTTCCATGCATCTTGATGTCGAGATGATCAATTTACAGATATTTGGGCATCAAAACAATATCTTCTAGTGAAAGTTTTGAGGTAGGCTCAAATTTGATTGATAAGAGCCTCGGCTCTATATAAACTTTTCCCTTCTTAAATAGACCTAATTGACTAAATCTTGGAAATACCAACAACATCCCTTTGTTCGGGACTATGATATAAATTTCCTATGCATTTTCTTTCTCCTTTCTTCTTATAAACACATAATTGTTTTCCCTTAATATTCGAGTAATTCTTTTATGTTTAAGTGCTTATTCATGAGTGCTTGAGAAATGTATTGAAGTTTCAAAATTTATACCACTGAAGCATCCATTTCATGTGCACATGCACTTAGTTTAAAATGTAAATGCCTCTACCAATTTAAACCTGACGTATACATACGAAAATAAGTTTACTATGAGAAAAGGTTGTAGATCTGCTTCCCCCCACCCTCTCAACAAAATGGTGTTCGATTTGCACCACTGGTTCCCGATTCCATATCTTACAGCTGAACTACTGTAACAAAGAAAAGGAAAATCAAGACATGACATGAACACTAAGTTCTATTTTAGTACTCAAAACTCATCATCATCATTATAACTTTTTTAAACAATTAATTGGACTTGGCTACACGAATCCTAATCCGCCATTCTACTCTATTAAAAATCATATCCGCAATGAGGCCATAAGTCTTCTTATCTTTTCGGACTACTGCTAACCATGTCCTTTTAGGCTTACCTTTTGCTTTTTTCAATCGTTCCTCTTGAACTAAGTCACACATCTTAACGGTTATTGTATTTGGTCGGCACTACATATGACCAACCCACCTAAGTCTACTCTCTCTCATCTTATCGCCGATTGGTGCCCCACCTAAACTCTCTCGAATGGATTCATTTCGAATTATATTCCTTCTTGTTTTGCCACTTATCAATCTCAACATCCTCATCTCCGTTTCGAGTCTCATCAATCAAAACTATATCATCTGTGAACAACATGCACCACGGTACCTCATCCGATAGGTGCCTAGGTAAATCGTCCTTAATTAAGATAAAGAGGTACATACCCAATGCTGACCCTTGACGTATATCTATTGTCACTGAAAACTTTATTGTCTCTCTACTAGTTGTTTGTGTACTAGTTAGCATTCCATCTTACTCAAAATCCATCTGAAAGTAATGAATGATATTGGCACAAATTTTCCTATCCTTTATTCTATGGATGCTATCAACCAAACATTTGAATTTGGTTTCTAAATTAAAACTAATCTTTCATTAATATTGATAGGTCCCCTAAATTTGGACTACTCTTTTACATTTTCTTCACAGCTGAAATTACGGTTGTTTTGCTCTCTCTGTCCTGGGATTAGATTTATGAACAACATGAGAAATGTCTTAATATGCATTTGGATACTACTGACAAAGTTTCATCTATTTTTAGAAAAACATTGTTACTAATAATCATATATTTTGTGTTATAACTCTCATTTCCACCTGTTTACAGTGGTATGTTAAAGGTGGTGATGATCATATTGAATTCAATCACATTTAAAAGGGAAATATGCAAATTTTTTATTTAAAAATTCTTTAGACAGTAATTTTGAAAATTTTAAACAAAAAGAAAGAACATTTTATAGGAAAACTTTGAACACGATATCATTTACGGAGAGAATATTTCTCTAAACCATATTGCTATGTTGTAACACATCTTCCAAATGGCTAAATTTTAAAATAGATCCATACATGCAACGTACAATATCTAAATCAAATATTTTGGAGGGTTTTCTTGAAACTTACATCTTACCTTAGTTATATATAACATCTAAAAGAACTTCCGAATATTTAGAAGTAATCAAAATATAAAAATCTTAAACAAATAATTCAACCAAATTCAAATTTTAATTTAAAAAAGTTATTTGGTCAAAATTTAAGGATTCGGAATATTCAATGGAGAGGTTTCAAAATTTAAAGAAGTGGAGTCTGCTCTTTTTATGTGCTGAAACTCCAGCTTGCTGAGAAGGTCTTGAAGGAATCTAAAGGCAAGATGAACCTAGAACAGGAACTGCTATTTGCTAGTGACATCAATTGCATTGATAACATGTTCCATTCAAGAGATCTAAAACGGTAGTAGATATAGATTGGAGGTACTGATACCATTACATCCCATCAATGAGTCTCCTCCACAAACATTAGGGCGACGATTGTGGTATCTCATAAACCTCCCTTGCGAAGAAATGAATGCTCATCAAATATGAAGATAGAACTGACATTGACCATAGCCATGTCTCATGTTCACTGTTAAGCCATTAAATTCACATACTTGTAGAACCTAGTGAATGACTGCAATTGGTTGTTAAAGATAACATTTAACTTACCACCTAGCTGTTCTACCATGTGTAGATTTTCTGAGCTATGCTTGTTAGAACTATGCATTGCAATGGCTACAAGGATAAGTACAAAAAGTTAGTAATAAGCTACACTCTGCTCACCAAAGTGTTCTACACAGTTTGAGAAAGAGCTTGAGATGTATTTGAAAATTAGAGAAATTCCGCTTGTTATTTCGGAAATATCTCCATATATAACTCGAATAAAACCTCGACAAATGTCATATAATGGCAAGTCTTGTGCATAAAAAATGGAACCATTATACCAACCCAAAAATTAATGTGGCCATTTGTGTTTTCTGAAACTTGGAATCATTTGCAAAAAGTACGAAAACAAGAAAAATGAAACCTCACGAGAATTTGTCCTGTATACCTCCTTTAGCATTGCCTAATTGTCCTTATGACAAAATTAACGGCATAAGCAGCAGGTGGCGCTCGCTCGAAATTGAAAGCACGCGGCACCATTCAGCTTTAAGACAGACTCCAGACACTGCTTGCAGCACAGACACCGTGAACTTGCTTAATTAAGAAACAACGCCGGCGCAACATGTCAACAACGTGAATTGGAAACACGCTGTATTATTATCGTTAATTTTCTTTTGGAGCAAATGATGAACTCATCTGGGCCCCAAGAAAATTATTAGCATGGCCCTAGTCCAAAAAAAGAAGAAACAGTCAATAGGTTAACAAGAAAGAAGAGTCCCTTTTTCATGTATTTGCAGGACATTAATTTTCATTTAACCATTTTTTGTTGGGATTACTATTTTGTAAGAAATCTTATGATCCATGATTGGAAATACATTTTTAAGAAAGAAAACTTTTTCTTTTCTCATCGATGGTTTGATTTCTTCTGTTTTTCTTGGAAAATTTCTATTAGAGATGCAATTTATAACAAATGCAACTTATACTGCTGTACTATTTTATGAAATTAAAACTGCACTAACCATTCGCAAATGAAACTAATTGCCAAAATCCCGGAAACAGCAACAAAATTCTTCTATTTACAGAAGTGATATACATTCTTATGTATTTCTTTCTTCTCTCTTGTTGTTATATTGTCCTTTTTCTCCTTCAGGCAATAACGACATAAATAATTGTTTTACAATGATAAATGATCCCCCCGGCAGATGTGAATTCCCTAGTTTTTCAATGTGATTTCAACATATTCATTCAAAGCACGTGAAGGGCATCGTTTGTGAGGGTGATGTGCTGATGAACCAATATCAGAGAGAGAGGGGTTGAGACTATTGAGTATTAAATACCAAGCATGAAATAAAAAAATTGGAAATGACAGGACCAATACCTGGTACGGTTAAAGGCCATTAAGGCTGTTTTAAAGTCCATGCAGGGGCTGAACAATCAATGAACAGTGGATATGAGTTAAGCAAAGACCCCACCAACCCTTTCTATACATCAAAAAAAGCCTCAATACAATCGAAATGCTTATTTTATATCAATATTTTTAAGGATGGGAGCCCATACTTGGTCCCTAGGGAAATAAAGATGGACGCTTTGAGACGAGAGAGAGAAACGGTAAAATTTTGAGAGAGAGAGGAATAATTCCCCATCATTTTTTTTGTTTGAACTGAAACTGAAACTTCCAAGGGGTCCCCTCCCTCTTTCAAATAATAAGATTCTCTTTCCCTTCAAGCGTTTCTATGTTCCCTTCCCAAGATTTCTTCTGACTAGTGGCGTTTCTTTTATCACAGGGGCAGCAAGCCCCAGATTCTAACCAGACACACAGTCAAACCAAGGAGTGGAATGCACCCAAAGAAAAACAGGCGGAGCTTAAAAAAAAGTATTAATATTAATTAATATCATAAATAATGAACAACACTTTTTAAATAAAAACCCACTTCTTTTTTTCTCTTTTGCTTTTTTTTTTTCTTTTTTCTGCTGCTTTTTTACTCTTTTTGTTCCCCAAAGGGACTTTTTCCTGAATTTTCAGAAAAACCCAATACTCAAATTTTTACTGGCTTCCTTATCCTCTACTACAAACTGTAGTTTACCTAAGACCTGTATTTTTGTTGGTCTTTCTCACTCTCTCTCTCCCTCCCTCTCTCCCTCTCTCTCCTTGCCTTCTTGCCTGAAGGATATTTACTGATAACAGCTGGTATTTCTAATTCATGTGAAAGGCATGAAGAACTGATGATTCCTTCACCTCATTATTCTCCATTTCCCACCCGCATTGTGCCTTCCAATTTCCAAAATGGATTTCCCTCTCAACCTTTTCTCTTTTTTCTTGATAAATCTTGCCTAGCCTCGTCACCACACCAAAAAACTCCTACTTAACATTAATTCCCCACCATATGTGACATATAATCCTACAGCCCCTGAATTCTCTGTGTTTCCCCTTTCATGTCCCTTCAGCTACTCTGTTTAGTTTCCTCCTCTTGGTAGCAGGGCTGGTATGTGAACTAGAGCAGGACCCAACTGTTTTATCATCACTTTTATAGCTTAGACATGCAGCATCAAGAACTCCTATTGGACTCTGAGGCACTGATGACACTGACCCAGCTGCAATTTTCACAAGCTTCTGGTTTTTAATCAACACAATTTCCTGAATAAGTTCATAGCACCTTAACACCTTGCCCTGCAATTCACAATAATGAATAGACATCAGTTTCAAAGAACAATATCAAATAAGGAAGAAAAGGAAAAGAAGCAATCAATCAGAGATAATGGGGAAAGTTTTACCTTTCCAAAGAAAACAGAATTGGATAGAGAGAGACAGATAATTAGGGGAGATTGCTACCTTTTCAACATTGGGGCAACAAGCAAGAGCGTTGTTGAAATCAAGTGATTTGGATTCCTCAGATACAGATATGGCTACAGCTGCAGCAATCTCAGAAGGCCTGAACTCCAAAAACTCAGTCCCTGCATTTGGTTTACAAAAGCAGTAAGAACAGAGTGTGTTTAATGGCAGAGGATGGTGAAAACCCCAAAATGGAAACAACCCACCTTTGATTGTGGTTAAGATTATATCACTTGATCTACAGAGATAAGCTCGCGGGGCCCAGGAATCATCGCCATTGATCTTATGAAGAAAGTAATCAACAAACGAGAATGGTGTCACAGACTGCATTCTCCACTTCAAGTTGCTCAACACAAGAAGCTCCATTCTCTGAATCGTTCGAGACTCGAATACATATTTCGCTTCCCCAACCTGGCATTAGAGAGAAAAATTAACATATGCAAACCCCCATTTAAAACAGAGAGAGAGAAAGATAACAATGAGAGAGAGAGAGAGAGTATCCATGAGATGTTCAACCTGTAAATCAAGAGATAATGGAACATCAGTTTCCTCCATCTTAGCAGCCAGAGACAAACAGGCAACTGATAGCAACTGTATCATCCAAGCTTTACCTTGCTTCATATGATAAAAAAACAGCGAAATCAATCAATAAAGCAAAAACCCAAAATGAAACACCTATAACTCAATCATCAAACAAACCAGTGAAGAAAAAAAGGAGCAATCTTGGCCTGCATTGTTCACTACTTACAGGAAGTTCATAGCAAGATAAGAATCGATCCAGATAATTTACAGAGAGATATGTAGTGAGAGGCTGAAAGCTGTAATGGCCATGGACCTGTAAAACCCCAAACAAAACCATTCAAAACCCAAAAACTCCAACCCAAACAAATGTCACAAAACAAAATCAATGAAATCCATGAAAACCATAAAAAAGAGAGAGCTTTAACAGAAACCCACCTTCCAAATCCAGTTGACGGCCTCTCTGCGCAATGATGAATCCAAAACCCCACTTTGCAGCCTGATTAGATAGTCATCTCGAGGGAGAAAGTCCCCTTCTTTTGAAACCAGTAAACCCATGCAATCATCTGATTGCAGTGGTACATCCAGGCCCATAAAACCACTGATAAGAACAGGGTTGCCATGACTCTCTCTCTCTAGACCAACCTCCTCATCCCACTCCAAGATGCTAATGTTTTCCTCTGCACACAAGAGGCTGGACATATAGTCAAAGCTGGGAGCCATCGATGAAGATGAAAGTTTGGCCTTATGAGGACGCCATGAAAATGGGGGTCCTTTTAATGGTCTTTAACCATTGAGGTCTCCTGTAGCATTGGCCATTAGAGCCACCAAGCAGTGGAAGCTTGAGGGGAGAGAGAAGGGGGAGAGAAAAAGGGTTTTATTAGAGTGGGTAGGTCTATTTAGGGCAAACCAGTTAGAGGCGTGTGGAGGAGAGAGAAATGGCAAGGTCCTCAAGGGCGAGGAGTGTAGAGAGAGAGAGTGGGACAGAGAGATTAATGATTTATCAAGAAATGAGGAGTGACAAAGACTGGTGTGTATGTGTCTTAGAGGGAGAGATTAATGAAGGATTAAGAAAGTATTTCCTAGATGGTTAATCTGATAAGATACTAATAAGTAGAGGGAGAGAGGATAATGAAGAAGAAGAGCCTTGTTAAATCCTTGATACACATTAACTTAGTAGAGAGAGAATCAAGAAATTGAGGTTTGAGTAAATTGCTAATATAATCATGAGAAAATTGTGGCAAAGAATTAAAATGCCCACCTAACATAATTTTATTCACTTGCTGCCTACTTAACACAACTCTATTCATCTGGCTGAACTTGGGACTAATGTTGTCTCGCAGAGGCGGAAAAAAACGAAGTTCAATTGTCACTACGATAATAACCCCAATAAATAAATAGAGAAAGAGAGAGTAATGAAGAAAGACACTAAACTGTTAATAATATGATAATAACCCTAGTAAGAGAGAGACGATTAATAAAGAAATGAGAAAAGTATTTATGATGATAATTAACTTATGGAGGGAGCAACAAAGAGATGAATTGAACAAATAGACTAATCCAAAAATTATTTCAACAAAGAGGGAGGTTATTAAAAATTAAAAAAGTGTTAACTATTATCAAAACCCAGCTAGAGAGATTAACAAAGAAATGAGAGAGTCTTAATGATGATAACAAATAAACAAACCAAGCGTCCGTTGTCTTATTAAGTGGAAAGAAGCTGTTTTATAAAATTAAACTTGGTCATTATTATAATCATTCAATCAAATGAAAAGGAGATTGGCCGTTTGATTAGGACCCCCGGGTAATTGTGTAAACGTGCTTCAACACAATAGTTGAAATGACTAACTTATCCTTGGTTTTTCGGGTGAGCCGATTATGCCACGAATCTTTTTCAAAAATTACAAAGCTACCATCGGCCACATTTCTTTTGAGTCTCTCTCCATTCTATTGAAATGTTTATAGAAATACTTTCTATCTCTCTCTCACTCTCTTTCTCAAATGTTGTAAAAAACTCACAGGGTTTACACGATGTAGAATTTTTTTTAAAAAAACTCACATTTTAAAATATCAAATTTTTTTTTTTCATGTTCACGATCATCTTAACCTAAACCATAAATCCCTAAAATTTTCAATTAAAAATCGAGTTTTAAGATGAATTAGGTTTTTCTTCTCTCTCTTCCCTACAAAGTTGGCTGTCATTTTTTTTAAAAACTTAAGAGTTTATATTTCAGGCACGGTTTGTATAGAGCCTAGGCTCTAAACAATCAAATTAGAGCCTATCTTCAAATGGTGTCGAGAAATATAGTTTCAATATTGTAAATCTTTGTGATAGCCTTAAAATATAGTTTTATATTTATTTATAAAGTTTAAAGCTTCAAAAATAGTGTATATCGACATATCTATGAAAACTTGATAATCTTAAAAATTGACGGTCCAAAAATGCGTTACAAAATATACTATTTTCAAAACTTACAATCTATTTTTTTTTTCATGTTCATACATCTTGATGTCGAGATGATCAATTTGAAGTTATTTGGACATCAAAACAACTTCTTCTAGTGAAATTTTTGAAATAGGCTCAAATTTAATTGTTTAGTGCCTCGGTTCTATATAAACTTCTCCCTTATATTTACGGGATAGAGACAAGAGGGTTTTACTGAGAGTGAGTGGGGAAAAAGATGGTAAAGGGCAGGCTCTGAGCTTTTCTCCTATTTATGGAGACGTGTGCGTCCCCATTTCTGAGCACACTACTGATACACAGCCCCTCTTTTACCCTAAATCATGCTCTCTTCTTTCCCCTTTTCCCATAAATTCAATTAATTTGGAATCTACCCAATCTGCGAAATTCAATACACCAACCTTTTCTTTCATAGTTGGCAGATATGTGTATTTATTCTATCTCAGAAATGACGAAAAAATATCCCACGTAAAATTCGCATAGTTTATTAGAAAGGAAAAGCCGCACGTCAAAACTCACCAAAAATTGCGGTTTTGATGTCGAAAAACTTGCGAAATACATCGCAGTCTTGATCATGTGGTTGTAAAAAAAAAAAAAAGATTTTAAGTTTTGAAAATAGTGTTATTATAATACATTATCTAAACCATCCATTTTGCTCTAAAAATAAGTGTTTACATATTCGTAAGATCTATATCATTTTTTGCACTTCAAATTTTACGGTCCGCATTAGAATCGTTTTAGAGTCATCATGGAGATTTTTTTTCATATACCCAAAGTACTTTCCAGATGAAAAAGAAAATTGTGGTGATGCTTTACTTTGTTTTAATAAAGCTTGAGCTTATAGAAATTACATCCTATTGGAAATGATAGTGGCTATTTGGTAGTGCTACATAGGGTTATCATATTGTAAGAAAGCAAGTGTTCCAATTGACTCAATACAAATTGTTGAAAGAAGGACTACATATCAAATGACTTATGTCATGACTAGAGAGAGAAAGGAACCATAGATGTTAGAGAGAGAGAGAGAGAGAGAGAGAGAGAGGAGCCATAGATGTTAGAGCTCTTACGCAAGCACCCTATGCTTCTTGGTTTTGAGAGAAAAAAGAGTACAATATTGAATTATTATGCTCTTTCTTGAACATACCATTGAATTATTGTTGTATTTCATCATGATTTTGAATGTGTGGCCTTGGATACCTATAATCAAAGCATAGATAAGTTGAATTGAAGATTGGGTAAACATTTCAACCAATTATTTCTTGGCTTAGGATGCTTATAATGAAGAAAAATGTGAGAATAGCAGCCTAAACAAGGAAGGTCTTGGTTTCTTTTCTAGAGCCAAGACTCTCTCTTTTCTCTTTCTAAAACCCCTTTTTTCCTTTCTTTTGTGTGAGTCCAATTTCCCCTTGAGCTTTAAGACATTTATTTATACTTTTTGTGTGTATGTGTATGCTCACTTTTGGCACGGGGACCCCCTTGGACTGAGACTAACTCTGCAGTCAACCAAAACCTCATCCAACATCTGCTCCATACACAACACAGTATTCCACTTCCCTCGATACTGCCACACCCCACATAGTTTACTCTCTCTCTCTTTCTTAGTTTAACTTTTAATGAGTTCTTTGTATCAGTTTAGCATGTTCTAACAAATGCAATGCTTTGAATTTTGCTGATATAGATTGGGAAATTGTACATCTTTGGTTTGGAATAGGAGGGAACCGACCTGGTCAAAATCGGGAATCAGTTCGAGAATTGAGTGACTCAGTTAGAGAACCGGATGATTGTGATCTGATTACCTTATTTCCACTCATTTTATTGTTTTATTATTTTTTAATTTTTAATATTATCAAAATGAAAATTTGAGAAATTAACATAAATATCATTTTTGGGATATTTAGAACATGTCATAATCTTTTTCGAATTTTACATTGATGTCCCTTTTCTCTATCTATTTTAATTTCTTCAAAATATCTCAAACTATGTTGAAGTTGGTTTTTCCCAAAAAAATATTGTTCAGTACTAAGAGTATTGAACTAAGATAAAAACAATAGTTCGGTACACTAGAACCAAACGTAAGATGAATACAATAGTATGGTACCGAGAGCCATAGAGATAACATTTAGAATAATAGATTCGTTCACTACTCTTACTACCGAACTTTTGTAAAAGACGTTTTAGTACTCTCAGTTCTGAACAACATTTTTGCAAAAAAACCCACCTCAGCACAGTCCGGACTGAACTAAAGGGTATTTTGGAAAATAAAATAAAATGCATTATAAAAAATGGGACATATATGTAAATTTCATAATTTCGGAACACTTCTTTAAAAAAAATTTATATAACATTACAACCTTATAGAAATAAGATGTACCTCAAAAATCCAGTAGAAAAGAGTATTTTGAAGTTGAAAACCTTTCAATTGACCATCTTGCCCCCAAGATCTATGAATTTAAATAAAAAATAAATTTCAAATCTTAAAAATAATGTGGCATGTAACAAGGTAGTTTGACACGTCTATTTTCAAGTATTCACAAATCTTTTTGATCTGTATTGTTTTTGAAATTTTAATTTTCATAATTAGGACTAAACATAGACTTCTCACACCGAAACTACGGCTTTGCAAAATTTACATGTACGCCTTACTTATATAATATAAGATGGGCACCTTATACAAACCTCAACATTTTTTAAAGGACACAGTTCGCATATGCGCCCAACCTGCATATTGTAGAAATACCGGCTTGGCAAAAAATATATTTTTAAAATATAATTTGATCCTGATTTTTAGAGAGTATATAATCTTTAACACGAAGATCATGAATATGAAAAAAAATAAAAAATAAAAAATAAAAATAATAATTATATTAAAAAATCATTTAGACCGTTAGAACCACCAATTTGCAATCCATCGTTGTCTCTCTCTCTAGATTGTTGTTGGTTGCTCGCGGGTACATGTGCAAGGCTCTTAGCACCGTGGTCTGCCATGAAGGGCATACAGAACATCCGCCATGTCTTCGGTGTCGCCACAATAAGAGCAATTTTGAAAAACAATTTGGGGTGGCTCTCTTCTCTCTTTCAAATATTCCCTTGTGTATTCCCCACTTGTGAGTTAAATATTAGCAAACCTTTGCTCAACATTGGACACGAGAGGCGAGAGAGACAAAGAGTCCTTCTTTTCCACGCTTTCTTATGTCCTATATGAATTCTCATACACATATATACAAGAGAGGGAGAGCTCTAGAGAGAGAAAGCTCTAGAGAGAGAGAGTTCTTCTTTTCCAGCCTTTCTTGTGGCATTCTCATAATATGATATGATACCAGTGCGTGGGAGTTCGCATTCTAGGGGCTAGCACCAAGACACCAAAGGGACACCACCCATGCTCCCCTCTCTTTCTCTCTCTCTCTCTAAGACTCATGTGCCAACCCGTTTTCACATTAGTCAATTGCAAAATCACAGTCAAATTCAAATATTATAACCTCCATTGTAGTGGTACCCTTTGAACAAGGCGT